CAACTGAACAAAAATTAATTCCATACATGTGCTTTATCTTACCGTAGAGAATGCAGACACCATTAGAGTATATTGATTCGAACATTAGGGAAGCAGGTATTAAAACAGACTTCTACAAAGAAGCTAAACTATTACTTTTGAACGCAATACAGGCAAGTTATTATTCTTTACAAACAAATAGATTACCAGTTGTTTGCTGGGTATGATCGAATATCGCTTACCATAGTTTATTATGTTGTGCAGTGACTGTTATTCATTATGTAATCCAAATGTGTTCAACAGGAACGTGAAAAGAGTGAATTAATGATGCAGGATGGAGTTAAAATTGATGCAGTCAAGTTTTACTTTGCTGGTCACGGTGGGGTTGGCAAAACAACTCTTAAAGAAACTCTGATGAGGGTAGGTATGAAAATGAATTGATGTTGGTGATTACTTTGGTGAAACCAAAATGAAATTAATATCTGAATTATTGGCATGCTGTTATTGCAACATCTTCCTCATTATCAACTTTAGAGATATTGGATTTCAATGGAATAGCATGTCAATAATACATATTGTTATACGAGATTATTATGAGGATACCTCAAAGTATGCACGAAAACAGTACGGTGAAGTATCGGCCAACGCGTAGCGTAGGTTGAAGCATGGCATAATGTCTTTTAAGAATACATCATGGGAATACCGAAAACTAAAATGTTCAGAACAGAATCAGAAACTTCTTTGTGTGGAGTCTGGTCGAACCCTAGTGGCAGCCATGTTTGTTTTTATTAGTAGAGGACGCTAACACGTGCAAACTTTCCATATATGGAATTCGCATTTTTGTATATGGTATACACTGTAACTTATGACATTACGGTGACAGATGTATAATAATAAACTAATAAAACGTAACGAGGTGTACTACATCTTGCAGCCTTAAAATCAATACATTTTCATCAGAGGTCCAACATTGCTAAATAAATGGGAAATACCAGAGCTACATCTCGAACTGTTAGGAAAGGTGGCATCAATGCTACATCCCAATTGAATTAGAAAAAAGACTGTCGGCACGCAAGATTTGAATATACTCCAGCATTTTATGTTGGAAAAGGAAAAGATCAACTAACTGGAGTGAACACTTCAAACAAAATGGGCACTGCACCAAGCATTGTACTGCTGACAGTAGACTAGAATTAAACCACATCCATCGACATGATACTCTCTCTGTATCAAGTTGAGCGCTGGCTTTGGTGACAGTAAAATGAATTTGAACCCACAACCACTAACTTGTTAATTTGTCTTGATGATGAACATGAGAATTGATTTCCCAAATTCTGCACATTGCTTAAATTTATTAGCCTTGTTAAAAATTGGCAGTTTTTGTCAATAGCAATTCCAATAATATCACACGTTAGATTACTAATGTCTACCTGCAAAATAGTTGTCACTCAAGAAATAAGACATGATGCTAAAAACTGAAATAGATGAGGTTACAATAGTGTATGAGATAGCATGTTGTTGTTCCACTAAATAGAATTTTTTGCGCCGTTGCTATATACAAGATTGTAGCTAGAATACAAAAATATTTGTTGGATAGTTACTGGCATTATATTTGGTTGCTATTGACATGTAGATGTTGATCATATCTGAAACACGCTAGTCATTGATTGTTTTTTTATAAATGTCGTAGGAGTTCTTTCTAAGCTTTATTTGTTTTATAAATGTTGTAGGAGGTAAAATCTGACAGAGAAACTACTCTTGTCCACCTGGCAAAGACGATTATGTAAAAACAGCTGGTATCGAGGTCATGAACTACGACCTTCCAGGGGTCGGAAGGAGCAGCCTTTGGGATTTTGCAGGTCAAGCTCAATTATTCGTGTCACACACATTGTTCCTTGATCCAAGTAAAGCAACATTCCTACTTGTTTACAAGATAGTCACTCATGATGGAAAAAAGCTGGTAAGGCCAATGGACTTGAAAGAGACAAATTTAAAAGAGGTGAGATATCATGCATGCTTTTCAGCTTCGATTTCATTTTGAAAATATCAAACATAGCTGCAAGCAGCCAAAATATGTTTGGGCCCATTGGCCTATACCCACATTTCTATGTTTTTTTTCAGTGATTGCTAGTTAGGTACGTACAAAAAATGAAGAGTTAGGAATGTTAGTGGTCATGAACTTATGAATATTTTTTTTCTGAACTGGCTGCTATGGTATTTTTCATGGTGTGAAAAATAGTCATTACATGAGTAAGGTAGCTATTCGTATAGCAACCAAGTCAACGCCCATAGTAACCAACCACAAAGTAGCTTTTTTGATGAACATGAATTTTAACTGTCACAAAAAGGCATTAGCAACCAGTTCAAAACAACAACAATTATATATAACAGTTTCTTTTTATAATACTATGATACATTCATACTTTGATAAATTTTGCTGAAAAGGTGCACGTATTACTATCAACCAATAACATAGCAGCATGAGTTCAATAAACTAGTGGTAGAAATGACTATGATGGCAAAATGTCACTGTGGGGATATTCCACTATTATTCTAAGAACATGTCTATCTATTTGTCAATTTTGAAAATAATCATTTGGTTGTATACGCTTTTAATTTCCTTGTATTCATATTTATGCATTGTATTTTTTACCTGTATGCCATATAAATGTTATCACATTTAGTTGCCCAAAATACCAACTGATTGCTATAATAATAATAATAATAATAATAATTTTCCATTGTATTTTGTGTTAGTTGTTTGTCTGGCTTAAGATGATACGCAACTCTTTCATACAATCTGATATTGACCCAGCTGCTCGACCAGAGATTATTCTGGTGGCCAGTAGAGCAGATTGGGCAAATGAATACAAAAATGAAGGTAATTTATTCATCATAATTAAGAGTTTATCCTATTTAAATATGAATGTTATCGTGATAAAGGAAATAAAAACGCATAATTAGTATGTATTGTCTGAATATATATATACATACATAGACAGAGACAATAAGACACGACTACATGAGTAAAGTTGACTCTACAGTACTGTTTCGTAAGGTACACGGAATACCTCACTCATCAGAAGTTAAAACTTTATTAAATAAACATATGTGGGACTAACAGGGTATGAATTTAAAACCTGGTACAGAAACCACACTGCATCGCTATGCAACCAATCATCAAGAAACGCAACAGAGCTCAGTGAATACGCTTGGTCATTAAAAGACAATAACATTGATTATGACATCAAATGGAGAGTGTTATCGCGTGCTGCATCATATAATACTTCAAGCAAATGTTGCAACTTATGCATTAGAGAGAAATATATTATAATTTTCCAACCACATTACTGTAGTTTAAATAAAAGAAATGAGCTTTTTTCTTCCTGTAAACACAGAGCCAAATCGTTGCTATGCAACAACTAGTTTCAATATCGTAAACCCACTCCATTGTTATGCAAATCTGTAGCGCTTATAATGTAGTCTGTTTCGGTGGTTTATTTAATAAAGTCTTAACTCCTGATAAGTGAGGTACTCCATGTACCTTCCGAAACAGTATCGTAGGGTAAACTTTACTCATGTAGTCGTGTCCTAATTTCGCTGTCCATGTATGTAAATCTACTCTACAAACTCATCGTTCACCTGGGATAACCGACTACCTATATATATATATATATATCAAAACATTTTATCCACCCATTTTGAACACATTTACGTTTTATTTGTGCAGCCGCACTTGTCAAGGAAGAAATTTTGAAGGAATGTAAAGAAATGATAAAAGATCAGGTTCACATCTCAGATGAAACATTTTTAGTAAATTGTAATGATGGTAACAGTTCTGAAATGCAAGAGTTGAGGGCGGTACTCCGCAATAGAAGAGATGCCATACTAAAGGTAATTTAGTAATTTTAGTATTTAGTAATCTCAATGCATTCATTTTTTTTATTTTGCTTATGAATCTTGGTAATGATATCGTCTGATTTTATCGAACAAATAGTTCGCGTGGATTGAACTAAGTGAACTTTGCATCAGTACATTCGGATCTATGATCTATTGTTTGAAGGAATACAACAATCTTGCATGTAATTGTTACTGTGTTTTTCAGCTTGAAAACCCAATGCCAAAGATATGCGACAGAATATTGAAATCGAAAAACGATTGGACTCGTGATAACATTGGTTTTCCAGTTATGAGTTGGTCTAAATACTTTGATCTAATTAAGAACACTGTGGATTCTATGGTGAAAGAAGATTTCCTTCGAACAGCAACCAAATATCTACATTATGGCGGCCATGTGAGTTGAACAATAGCAATTCTATAGAATCTGAGAATATTATTTTAGAGAGTTGGATTTTCATATCATATTCATATTACGCTATGTATCAAGTTATTATCCAAATAATTCAAGTATAAGTCCAAAAGAAAATATGTTCGCATTTATTCATATTTTCTTTATAATAAACATGAACAAATACTTCTTAGTAATGTCAAGTATGAATACTTCATAAACATGACAAATAACATTATATATATACTATTTATGTTAGGCTTACTATCTATCGATAATATTTGTAAATAATTAAAATTAAATTATTATTATCATTATGCGCCTTTTATATTTTATATTTTAGCTTATACATTTGAAAGGCATTGTAAAGGATGGAACCGATGTTGTAGTCCTAGTACCACAGTGGATGTGTAGTAGAGTGATGGGTCCATTCCTGGCATCAGAAGAATTCATTCAGTTTGCCAAGAAGTTGCCAAAAAGGATGACACATGAGAGGCAGGACATTGAAAGTGTATTTGATGAGGCAACTAACAAAGATTTGGTTGTGGAGTTGTTAGGTGCACTAGAATTACTGTTTCTTTTCAAGAAGGATTCTGAAGATAATTTTTTAAAAGATTTGTTCATTATTCCTACTCTACTGCCTGATCGTATGCCTGATGGTCAGTGGAAAAAGGGCCCCTACAAAAGTAGATA